CTTTGTCTGTCTTCCCCAGCTTGTTGTATCCCCGTTCTATTCTCAGTACACCCATTCACCCACATACCTTTGATTTACTCTATGAGCTCGACATTATGGGGCACAAAGAAAACAAGGATGGCGTGCCCACTTACTGGGGCACGTCTGGCAAGACACTACAGAGGCTCATTACCATCGTCGCTACCATCGACTTCTTACTCTTCGGCTACGATCAGGGTGTCATGTCGGGTATCATCGCGGGCGATGCTTTCGTGAAGGATTTCCCCCAGGTTGATCACGACAGCACTTGGCAAGGTTTCGTCACCTCCATCTACGCAGTCGGTTGTTTCTTTGGTGCCCTTTTCATCCTCTGTGTTGGCGACAAACTCGGACGTCGGAAATCGATATTCCTTGGTGGCACGATCATGATCATCGGTGTCACCATTCAAATCGCTACTGTGCCTCCTAGTTACGGCGCTACTACTCAGTTTATCATTGGACGATTTATCACCGGTATTGGAAATGGTATCAATACTTCAACTGTGCCAATATGGCAGGCAGAGTACGTCTTCCGCTTACCAGATCGTGAAACTGTCCCTTACTGACAAACTGCACCTACAGATGCAGTCATTCGCACAGCCGAGGCAAGGCGATCTGTATTGAAGGTGGCAATGTCGCCGTCGGAACGTTAATTGCATACTGGCTTGACTACGGTGCTAGTTACGGTCCTCATGCCTTTACATGGCGATTTCCTATTGCTTTCCAGATTGCCTTCGCTGCCAGCGTCATTGGACTCATGACAAACCTACCGGAAAGTCCTCGTTGGCTTCTCTCCCATGATCGGGTGGAAGAAGCTACAACAATCCTGGCAGCTCTCAATGGTGAGAGCCGCACAGATCCCGCGCTGAAGAGGCAGCTCAGCCACTTGAGGGATGCGATCCGTGCCTCTGGCCAACTCGACAACAAGACCAAGTTCTCGGATCTCTTCACTGGCGGGCCCACTCAACATTTCCGACGTATGATGTTGGGTTTCTCTTCGCAGATGATGCAACAGCTGTCTGGTTGCAACGCTGTCATTTACTATTTCCCCATTTTGTTCCAGACAGCCATTGGTACTTCTCCGAACCTTGCGTTGCTCCTTGGAGGTATCAATCAGATTGTTTACGCGCTCTTCGCCACCACTTCATGGTACTTTGTCGAGCGTGTCGGCCGTCGCAAGCTGTACCTTATTGGTACCGTTGGGCAGTGCTTGTCCATGGTGCTCGTGTTTGGTGCATTGATCCCTGGCACTGCTAGCGCTGCGAAGGGTGCTGCTGTTGGTCTTTTCGTAAGCCACCCATGTATCAAGTTATGAATACAACGTTTGCTAACCCTTCTTAGACCTACATCGCATTCTTCGGTGCTACCTGGCTACCCCTGCCTTGGCTCTACCCGGCCGAGATCAATCCGCTAAAGACACGTGCCAAGGCTACCGCTAGCTCGACAGTGAGCAACTGGCTTTGGAACTTCTTCATCGTCATGATCACGCCAGTCCTTGTGAGCAATACCGGTACGAGCGGCTGGGGCACCTACCTGTTCTTCGCCATCCTCAACGCCATATTCTTCCCTATCATCTACTTCACATACCCCGAGACGGCAGGCCGCAGTCTGGAGGAGATCGATGTTATCTTCGCCAAGGGCTACGCTGAGAAGATCAGTTACGTGAAAGCAGCTAAGGAACTTCCTTTACTTGCCGAATCGGAAGTTATAGAGAAGTCTCGGGAGTACGGTATCGACGTACAAGCCGAGGAAGTCGAGAAGACGCCCGGCCTCTTTCACACGCCAACATCCGAGCGGTCATCTGTTTAATACATAACGATTCACGCAGATGTTCTTCGAGGCCTCTCATGAAGCCGGCAGGATCGGCTTTGGCGGCACATGCCGCTGGAAACTTTTAGATGGTTATTCACGACTCATAGAAGGCTTTGGCATATAGAAGGCCATCGGCATTAGAGCTGCACATGGGCGGGCAACATTGGATAGACTCGCATCAAGAGGCTTGCATGTAGAAATGATACCACCCGTTCATTATTTGGATATCCATAGGCGGGTCACTTCGCATTTTGGCATAGGCCTCACCCATCGCCAGTTTAGATGATCATTATTAGCGCACTTCACAGCGGTAGATCAAATGTTCATAGCATGAGAGAAATTTTTTGTCCATTGCATGGGTTTGAGCTTACTGGCTTCTTATCCTTACTGGTTAGACTACGGTGATCTGCAACTTGAAGCCTGCAAGTGTCATATGTCCACCTATATCCCACATATCTGCCCACATATAAACTCACACTAGAGGGCGCTCCGGTGAACGTGACCCGAGAACTGGCGCAATGGTAATGTACACCGCACAGTTCTCTGCCTATGTTCCAAGATCTTGTGCAAATATCCTTTGGGTATTGTTCCCTGTCGATGCTTTGAACCTAATCTGCACACTTGGCACATGTATATCTAAGTGCCCCAGTGGGGTGTCAGCTGATTTCCAGAACTTCCGAGAAGCATGCGATATATTAGTACTCTGAATTACAATGGAGCCTCGGATGCTCCGTGGGCTGTCGTCTATGACTTGAGTGTTGGATTGTTGGCTGCTATTATTTTGTCACAGTTGTTTGCCGACATTAAAGCTTACCTAGGAACAAGAAACCTCTGAGCCGCTTGAGGAATTAACAAAGGTAGGAAGTAGAACTAGCATACAAGTGGTATTGATTCGTCGCCAAGATGGATCGCTCCCCATGATTGTCAAGCCTCAAGTATTAGGTGTCAACAACGAAGCCAGCATTCGACTTACGGTAGAGACAATATTTAATTAATCACATTATACGTCGATACTGAAAGACACTATTCATTTTTCATATATCTGATCAAATTCTATTGATTAAGAATTGAATAAAAGGTGACTATGCTACCAAGTACTCAGGCATATGGATATATCTAGGATACTTAGCTGGAAGAACTAGCTTTTAAGTCATCTGGTTTCTAGCCTTCACCCGCATCATCATTTTATCAAATAGTTTCAGCATGACCTATTATTTCTGTCATAAGTCATGTTTTATGGGCAGCTGAACGATGCTCGGACACGTATTGAGTCATGAGGTTGCGTAAACGCCGAAACCTACAAAGTACATCTCATCCACGATCTAGAGCTGCCCCTTATCGTCCAAACTTGGATTCCCCAATGTGTCAAGACTTAGATAGCTGATTGCGACCTCTGTAGTAATTAAATAAGTCTATAGAATTGCTAAACCTGTATCTGATCCTCGTACCTCAACAAAGTCGTACCGGCGCGCAACAAGCACTACTACCACGCGCGCTTCGAGCATAGCTAATTCTTGACGAATACAGCTCCGAGGGCCTCTTTAAAGGCGCACCAAGCCCACGTTAGGATCTTACCCAAAAAACATCAAACACCAATTATCTTCTTCACTTGACTGCGTGGTGAGCCCTTCGTTGCATGATAAATGATCTCTGAGACTCAAACACGGAAGTTTATCAAGACCTAGAGAGCGGTCTGCTTCACACTCGACTTTCTAGCACTCTTCTGCACTCCTCACGGTGACCACTGGTCACACAGCTCAAGAAAACTCTTCGAGTTGTCAGCTATGATATCATCAACGCCATTGCATATACTCCGCGCCATCCACTAGTACTGATTGTCAGACCAGAAAAGAACGTACTACCGTGCCTTTTAGCTTCGAGCAAGAAGCGGGAGCCACTCAGTGTTGCAAAAGAATGAGTGGGTATATTGAAACCTGTATTGGGAAATGAGAGAGCCGCTGTAGTATGCGCGGACGAGAATGCGGTCGTGGCGGCCAGACAGCTTAATAAACTCAGTCGCAGTATCGTCTGTTTACGTATGCTGATAAGGAAGGTTAGTCACATGTTCACATGGTTCCTAATAACGGTATAGCCACACGATTGCTCGTTTAGCATACTATGATGTCCAGCAATAACTGAATGCGCCCCTGTTCGGGCTACGGCAAGTACTCGAGCAACTCTAGTAAGCGAGGCATAGGCTGTTTCAGCTTGCGCAAAGTTTACAGCCTGCTCAACTCATTCCAATCGCATTCAGCGACTCTGCAAACGTTTCTAAAACAGCACTTCGACCTGACATACTGCGCGTAGAGTAGCATTTAGTTTGGAGACTACGCAGTATCTGTAGAAGATGGAATACTACGCACATGCGACAGTACGACGACACCGTCTTTAGAGAGGCGCAGGTCCCTGTCTCAAGAGCGCTGGCGCCGACTTCTACGGCGCCCTGAAAGGCCGCAATAGTGTTTCCGGAAAGGCGTCCTTATGTATCCCGGTCACAGCCTGCAAGGGATGGACTATCTGTAGGGTGAGGTTGGGGGCGGGGGGCGTGCTCCGTGTCAGTTTCCTTACAAACCTTAGAGTTTCAGATATTTATGAGACCAAACGGTCGTGAAGTCATACATACCATTCTCCTACAACTACCTAAGTAGGTTTCATCCGACATAGAAATATCAATAAAAAAGTACTTTATTGTTAAGAAATCGATTTTAAAATTTTATATATCAAGATTTACTTGGGCTAACTAGGGCCCAATCCAAGTGACCCCACGGGGCTCAACTTGGGGGCCTGCCAAGAACCCATGGATGCTTGGCAGGCCCCCATGGGTTGAGCTTTAGTCTATCGGACCCTACGTTGAATCGGTCGGCCTGTCGGCGGCAATGACAAACAATCGCAGAGGAAGTGCACATATTCTGCTATCATTCTATCCTCCCGACCTTAACGACTGGTAACTTCCCGCCCTGCGTGGAAGTGTATTAAGCCGTCGCTTGTCCGCCTGTTGTGTAATTATAACCGGTACACTTAATGGCGATGGTGTTGGATGTAGGCAGAAACCGGTCAGGGATGAAAATTGAGAGGGGTGTTGGGGCGGTACGATTAGTTAAGTTTTTCGTAGCAAGATCCCGACTCACTCTTTTATAGTGCATCATATGCTCTTTTTTGTAAATAAAGACGCGCTAGTGGTTTAGTGGTAAAATCTATGGTTCCCACTCATAGGCCCCGTGTTCGATTCACGGCTAGCGCAAAAATAGATTTTTGCCAATCATACCTTTTTTCAACAGAACGTTGTTATTATAGTTGATATTTAAAGCATCCGCTAGGGACATGTACTGGTAGGAGATTTTGCATGGCGACATTATAGGTTTTACCTCACGAACTAGGGTTGTTAAAACAAAGCTGAAGCAGCTGATTAATTAACTGATCAACAGTTACCAGAACTTAGCGCCGTGCTAACAATTATCATCTTTCGGACCTGTAGACGTACTCTTCAACTCGTTGATTTTATTGGCTAATACACTGGATACTATTAGTCCATCTATTAACGTTAGACTTCCCTACATTACTCTGGCTATAATTTAGTTGGGCTCCTAAGTAGGGCCTAACCTAAGTGATATCATGGGCGTAATTTGGGGTCTGCTAAGAACCTATGGGTTGGGCATTACCGAACCCTACTTGCAAAGATGGCTATATCGGCAGCTACTACATCGGCATGCTAAACTGCGTCAGTAATGCTACTATAATGATGTGACAAGTGCGTCGTATATCATGTATAAATGCACTATCGAGCGCATTAAGGCCATATACAACGCACCGACAGCCCTGACATTGACGGGCGGGGCTGTACAGCCATCAAGATGCGTCTAATGGGTGCTCGACTCGATACAGCCTTGTTAGATCTGCCCCCAAACACCGACAACGATAAGTACTGGTTAAAAGGCTTGCCGTATTTAGGCTGCCCGAATAGGGAGACCTGCAGATGATTTGTATTCTCATGTCCTCCATTTGTTGGCTACCTTTTGGATTGAGTGCAATTTCTTTTCTGCACCAGCCCTGCCACCGGACGTTGATCCTACCTGAGATAGTGCTTCGAGTATATCGGTTTTACAGGTAAGGTGGTAATAGTGGCGGCCATATGATGGATGTAGATTTGTGGCAGTGTTTCGATAGATCCATTCAGTCGCCAGAATGCTACTCTATGCAGGCTGGGAAATCCTATGAGGGAGGGAGGGCAGATGATCTACCTAATATAGTAGCTTCTTCCACTGGAATTGTCTTATCATTGTGAGCGTGTTGGTCAGGCGGAATTAACTTCAGCGCTAACTCTTGTAGAGTCGGTGGCTTGAGAGTCGACTGCGCTGGGACCAGCTTTTGTGGCGCCGGATAAGTCCCCAGAGAATCAGTTCCTAGAAACAATCGATCAAAGTGCCCCCTCCCCCTCCCCCTCCCCCGAAAGGGTGATGAATGGTGGCCTGGACTCTCTGGAAAAAGAAGCAGTGACGTCATTGGGTCTGCTGTCGGATAATTGTGGAATATTACACTTTAAGTTACCCAATCGTTCCCTTCGGGACTCTGACACGCTTGGTCTATCTGTTTTGAGGCATCTAAGACTCTATTCATCATCCATCCGGAACTGATGAAGCTTTCCTTATCAGGGACAGCATCTGGTGCCCCCTTTCCTTTCGTTCTAATGCATTTGCCGGCTGCATGCGAGTACTCAAGACATTGAGATTCTACTGCATGCCCTAATCGCAATTCGTTGGAAAGGAAACATTTTCCCGGGGCATGAGAAAATTGGATGCATGAAAGTTTGCTCTCACATGCGGCTCGGCAATGATGGAATGAAACCTGAGCCTGTCGTTCTGTCGGAGATAGACCAGCCCTGTCTTCGTCAGACAGCTTTGCGAGTGCCTCGTCACTGTACTCAGCTCCCCCAGACACGTTGTCCCACTCTGTGCGTTCGGGCTGAAGCCGAGGGTGTATAATGCTCTTGAAAATATCACGAAATCGGAGGATTGCCGTGCCTTTGTTGTACTGAAGCCATTCTTTCTCGAATTGCCACAGAAGGTGGAACTCTTGCTTGGCCATGTGGTGGAAGGTTAAGGGTGCGTAACACCAAGGTGGTTTGTCGAGCTTATTGATGGTCCAATCGACTGAGGTCACTGCCAGAGAAGGAGTTAAAATTTCGGTCTGGAAAATGGGAATTACCAAATGGCATAGTAAATCTTATAAGAAGGCTGGACTAGAAGAGAGACAAAATGGCACTAAAAGCATTGGAAAAGGGCAGAAATAACACAAAATGTTGCTTACAGCTGTCACCTTGGATGTGAGGAGATGCTGAGAACAAGGTAATACCGACATTCTCCATCGCTTTTCCCAAAATCATGTCACCCGCCCATTCCTTTGCTGTATATTCGTCAAACCAGGATTGGTGTTCTTTCCAATAGCTCGTGACCATCTTCATAGCTGGGTTTGAGATCATAAATCCAGACCCGCCATGAGCGAAAAGTACGCTCCCGATATACATGTGTCTGCCCAAATAATACGGTTTGCTTGGATCGAATTCGGAAAGGTACATTAACATGTTCTGCCAAATCATATATGTGTCGGGCTCAACAAAAATAAACCACTTTGCGTCAGGCTTATATTGCAGTGCTCGATCAACCATGGGAAGAAACTTCCACTTATCGAGTTTCCAACCTGGGTTGTCTAGAGCGCCTCCTGGGCCACTACCAAATGAAGTCTGATATTCTAAGCCCTCTCTTCCACTTGCACGAAGTTTATTATAGAGCCAGAGCTCTGGGACAGTCATCCTGATAGCATCGTGGATTCGATCGAGAACGTCAAATATATGGTGGCCTTCTATATCCTCTTCAAAGTCTGAATATATGATGTAGTCGGGAACGCATGTGAGGACGGTCTGGAAGTGTACGGGCAGCTTCTCAAGCACTTCTGTCGCCCCAGTTCGAATAACTACTAGCACGTCATTTAGCAAGGGAGACTCCGGGCAAGCTACCTGAGCATGAAGAATGGAGGGAAGAGGCGCGGTTTTTAAGTCATGAGCTCGCCAAATATAATAAAGAAGCAGTAGAGTAACAATAGACGCGGTAATGACTGCACGAGACCTGCATAGCTTCATGGCTTTTCGAAACGTCTGAGGAAACATAGCGACGAGCACCATATGCTTTTACTAAACGTAGACGCTATTCTCGATACGAGCGGGAGGCCTTCTTAAGACCGGTTTGCTGCCTACAAACTCTGCTCTATATGGGTGTAGACTGACGTTGCAGTTTTAGTTGGGCCGGCTATGTAGGCCGAGACGCTACAGCTGTCTAGTAGTGTCAGGGGCCGAGGAAGTGATGTGAAGATAAATTTAGAGAATCCTAATGGCGATCACTATTGGTAAGTGGAATGCTCATACAGCACCCCCATTTTCTCATCCCTCCTGTAATTAGGTTTTAATCCTTGCTTGAGGGATTCTGTATTACCACACCATTTAGAATAGGATAGCCGACAATCCAATCATGTATATTCGGTAAAACAAAGGGCGCTTACTTAAAGCAGCCGATGCCCAGGAGTGGACGAATTTTTTGCCATATTCGGGGTGATTCTCAAGCACTATTGAACTGCACGGTCACCTTCGAAAGAAATCAATTGTAATACAGCCGACCGCGTTATTAACAGCGATAGCATTTAGAGACCGGAAGACATCTAGAATAGTAGACTAAATCTAAGTTGGATGAGTTCCTGAGACTAAAAGGAATTGAAAGGGGAGCTTCATAGAGGCCTGTTGACACTGCTAGGATAGTTAATTGTTAAGGCTGCGAAGTATCCACAATGGCCGTCGCCAACGTAGCCATCTCTCCTATGCATACTCCGTAATAGTTAACATGCGGCCACTGGGTCTTGGCATATCTCTAATTAGCAGATGGGGGCTGGAAACAATTGGTTAGCTAGGGAATGCATCGCCCCTCAAACATGTCGTGTAGTAGATATGGCATAGCCTTGAAAAGGTACTTTAATCCTAATACTATCCTTCAAAAATTTTCCCTCTATTTCATATATTGCTCGGTGAACATTCTTTCCTATAATTACGACAGGAAATGTGGCACCCTCTGCGAGGCTTAAGCTTTCTGCTTAAGGGCAGACAGGACGACAACAATGAAGAAATCCATACAGAACCACAAGACTCTGTCAATGGTTCCTTCGTTTTCCCTGTTACCTATCCTCTGACCTTTCGCGAGACCTCAACTATCAATATCACGTGGAAAACTAGCTACGAAGCTGTTAATCTATATTACTATCAGTCAGGAAAGGTCGCAACGTCGCTTCAGATTTCGAGTAAGTTATGGTTTAAATAATGCTATGATTTTCCGAAGCACTTTCTAAATACGCTAAAGCAAACCTGGGAATTAAATGGTTCCAGTGGCAGGTGCACGCAGAAGAAACCAATCTCACTTTGCCTTACGTATTTCGAATAGTCAATGCTCGTGGCACAGATTACGAGCAAACCCAGGAAGGTTTTTGGAGCACCAGCTTTTATATTACACGTGATTCATCGTCCGCGTCGACTACATCTATGATGTCTTCGACACTTTCCACCTCCTCATCCTCATCCTCAGTGGCCCCTAGCTTCACATCACTGACCACAACCTCGACACAAACCCCTACAGCATCTAATAACCCACCAGTCAACTCGAGCAGCAATGAGGGGCTCAGTTCCGGCGCAATAGCTGGAATAGCTGTTGGTGCTTCACTTGGGGCAATAGCATTGGCTGTTGTGGCTTTTTGGTTTGGAAGGCGAAAGACTGGTAGTGGTTCTCAACGTGTCGAACCAGGTGCGGCTTTCACACCATCAGAACACCCCAAGTCCCCCGATCCGAGAGACATTCGAACATCAGCTGCGCCCTTTCAGTATCATAACTCGGTGCCAGAGGTGCAGGCGGTTAGAACCTATCATGAGATGCCTCACGGTTGAAGCTGCATGGCACATGTTGCAGTCTTGTGTGAAGTTATTGGAAAGGAGGGGGATTCATGTTGGTTGCTGCTGTTCTTTCTACTTGTGAAACTGCTTAATGTTGGATTGATGGTGGTATTTTGAAGCGTGATGTTTTTCATTACAATTATATCAATTTCTTGGCTGGTAACAACCAGTAGCTCTCTTGAAACCAATATGTACACAACCTCCTCAATTCTTTTGTATCGTTACATCAAGAAGTCACCATTAGATTTTCCCTTGTAAAAATT